CTGTATGGTATGCTGAAGACATTTCTACACCTTCTCAGCTCTCCAAGGGCCCCTCACGCCACCACCAACTTAAAGGAACAGACCCATTATAGGATGTTTGTGTCCGTGTTTTCGTCTAAGACGGGTGGAGAAAAGACAAGGAAAGGGTACAGAAGCTAGAAGCCTCCTTTCTTTGGCTTTGTTGAAATGTGGGGGAGGGGTGCAATGAGAAGACACAGAAGTTTTTGCACCAATGGAAACCAGGCCATGTCACCATAAAAGGGCCAGTAGATTTTCTTTCTTTTATCATTGTCCAGGACCTTGTGCATACCAGGCAAATGCTCTACCACTGGGTTACATAACCCCCCCTCCCCATTCTTTCAACTCCACCATTCCCTCTGGGAAAATAGTCAGAAGGACTGAGCAGGGTCATGGGGGGGCAGCCAAAGAGCAGCTATCACGGATGTGTCCCTTGGTGCCATGTATCCTCACCCTGTGCATACCAGTGCCTCCTCTCCGTTTTCTCTTTCATCTATGTCTCTGTTTAACGTTAATAATTGTAATCCATAAAGGCGTTTATATTTATACTCTGTAACATATCCAGAGCATTCTAGAAATAAAACAAAGGGGTTTGGATGCCCCTATAGAAAAAATATAATCTGGGTTCTGGGACCTATTTGTGTTATCTGTGAAAAATAGGAACTGCCCTCTACTCGTTCTTAATTTTTCAAGAGGGAGGTAGTGGTGGGGAAAGAAATATTCGTTGCCATTGGCAACCACTGTGCATGCAAAGTTTTGGGACCCAGCTTCGGTCTGGAGATCATATGCTATGCTTTTTGGGGGGTATAAGTCTTGCCAACCTGGGACCGTTTAGAGAGAGAAGGCCTTCTTTAATGAATTTCAGTCAATCTGTCTGATATGCTGCAAAAAAAAAAAAGAACAAAAATTCTTGAGAGCATTCCAATCAAACAAAATAAAGACAATTGTATCTTTTCTTAGTCAATCCCCAGCCCCAGGTGTCACACAGCTCTAAGCTAAGAGGCCAGCCCAACTCTGTCCGCTGCACTGACCCATAAAGACATCTGGATTTCGGCAAGCAGCCTTGAACTCACCGTTTACCCAATGATCAAACAGGGTGCCTTGCCTTTCCCTAGCCAGTGCTACCAAACCCCGATCATTTCCTGAGACCGTGTTACAGGTTAGAGAAGCTGAACAAAGAGACAACGAGTTGAGAAGACTT